CAGTGTGGATGACACGCCCCACCATCCGTAGCGCTACTCTGTTACTTGTGAAGGAAATAATGCATGATTTAACCCATTGCGTACCGCGGCGTTTTCGCAAAAACCGGCGCCTGTGGCCGACGCCCTTTTATCGACGCGACTCGTGGCGCGCCGAGTATAAACAAATGTGATTTAAATCATATACATATGCTATAAAAATATTGTATATACTTCGCATTATACATTACTTTTATATGCAACAATATGATAAGTGAAATTGAATACTATTACGTGTTAAAAAAGATAAGCCGAAAAAAATGCAGCAGTTGCTAAAAATGTTTATAAAATCAAGAAGGGTTGGAAATGGAGCGCAAGACGTTTACAGATTGTTCAGTCATTCTATTTTGCGATCTTTTAGTCCAGTCACAACTTTTGGTTTTACTGGTTACAAAGAAATAAGCAAAGGATATAGTAGCTGAAGAATTTCCTGAAAAATGTCGATAACTTAGCTCTGCTGGATCCCACAATTTCCCCTATTCATACCTTTTTCTGGAAGGCTTCAGGAATATATCGACCTGCTACGCAATGGGTTAAAAAAATATGAGGTGGCTCCCATTAAATCAAGAACAGCGGAAAAATGGAAAAGTAAATTCCCAAAAAAACTCAAAAGTTAGAAATGACTGGCATTTTTGATGCATTTATTTAGGCAGGTTTTCGAGGAAAGAAAGGTCCTAGGTGCGAAATAAGGATTTTCTCCTCCTAATTCACACTTTCAATGAGCTTATACATTCTTCACCAAGGGAGCTGATCTCCAAAGCTTCAGCCCATCCCACCCACATGAGTCGAGAAAGTCGCCGTGGTTTCCTAACTAGCGCTGCTACTCTTTCGGTCCTACAGTAGAGTTAAGGGCGCAACTAATGAGAAGTACACGGTGGTTTACTGTCACCGCCCCATTCTCCTGCGATACGACGTCAACGTGTTAGCTTTAATTTTAATTATTTCCCCAAGCTAAAAGAGGAAGCTCGCCTATATACTATAGACGCCATTATCGTGAATTCGGCGCATCTTCCTACACACATATGAAAGATCATTGGTATCGATCAAGAATAGAAAGTTCTGGAACTTCAAAAAACCCTATCAAAACTTTTTGATCACCCTAATATTTGGCGTTCTGATCAAAAATATGTTGTTTTTTGGCGCTGCTGCATCTGCATGCAATACAGCCCTAGATTTCTAAACCCCAATTCAATGGAGGGTGGCCGGAAAATGGCGCCGGCGCCGAAAATGAATTTTATATTTGTAGTCCGGATGCCAAACAATTTTAGGATGCAGGTTTATATCAATTTTCGCAGCCACTTGTTGAAGCGAGTATGCGACTACGGTTGGTAGAAAGCAAGTGATACGAATGGTATCGTTTCTTTCGCTTTCTTCAACAATTGGTGGAGACCATTCCATGATGGGTTTTCAATTATTCCGCAATAATGCGTAGTATCTACTATGTGTTATCGGCTATGTCCGTGTGCTGTCTGTCTGTCTGAACTGACAGAACTGTCTCTCTGTCTGTCTCTCACAAAATTCATAGCACCGGTCCCAGCTCAGCAGCTGTAGGAGTTGATTCCAAGCAGTGACATAGAGGCTGTGACGGGAACAGTATTGATGGGTGACAGGGAGTGATAGGCAGGATAGCCGAGTGGTTAAGAGTGTAGAGACTTACGTTCACACATCCTGAGCCAGCGAGTTCGATCCCAGCCAAAACGCACAAACTACCTTGCAAAAGATTGCAAAAATGGGGTACGCATGCCAGCCGTCAGGCCCAGGTTTACAGGCGGCTAATGGAGGACGCGCGCTCACAAACGAACAAAGTCGGCAATCAGTGTTAATGCTAGGACGTCAACACGAAGTGGCGCGTAGAACCCTCGCCTGAGAACTGTGTCAAGGTAATGCGAAGGTTTCCGAGGGGGTTTTGAACCGACCTCGGCCGAAGACGCTAGTTCAAATTGACCCTCGCACTGGGTCGCTTACCGGGACAATCTGAGAAATATCCAAGTCCTAATGCCCCTTCAAGAAACACGATGGAAGGGTTCGAGGGATTGGAGTTTGGAGAAGGTGTCAAACTCTTCTACAGTGGAGCAGACAGCAAACGGAGCGGCGTGGTATATAGCGGTGGCAGAATCCCTGACGGACTGCGTCTCTTCTGTGAACAGAATCAGTGATCGGATCATGGGAGTGAGAATGGACACGAAGGAAGGGTACTGGACCGTACTGACCGTGTACGCACCACAATCCGGTTGCTCCGAGGCGGAAAAGGATGAGTTCTACCTGAGTTCCTGACCCTGGACGAGACCATAAGAAGGGTTCCGGAAGACTACCTCACCACAGCTGGGGATCTGAATGGCAATGTGGGAAAACGGTCTAGAAAGGGTGGTACGGAGGCCAAAGATACGGGCAGCAAGAACGCTGAGCGGAGAGCGATTTTGACCTACAGCCACAACCGCACGACTTACAAACCGCTGCAGCACAACTTCTTCGCGCGAAAAGGGGGAGCCCAAAAGGTAAACTTAACAGCATTGGAGGGAGACAAACGGGAATCGACCATGTCCTGGTCAGAAGATCGTCTCTCAAAATGCCTGGGGAAGAGCTGGGCCCTCAGCACAGGTCTCTCCTGGCAGACATCGCCATAGACCTTCCTAAAAAGACAAGGGTGAGAGCAGAGCGAAGAAGGAATTCCGGTGGCGGAAAAAATGGCGCAAGGTAGAAAAGAGAGCCTCGGCCGCGAGAGAATACTGAAGGCTGGACTCTCCCAGACCCACATGGGCCAGTCCAGGACACCTGGACCCACGCAGTAGAGGTCATCCTACAGTGTGCAAAGGAGGTCCTGGGAGAGACGCGAGGTGGTATCAGAGGAGACAAGGCAGCCTGGTTCTGGAACGAGGAAGTCCAGAGGATCGTCAAGCAGAAGAAGGAAGCATAACGCTGGCAAAAGACACGGAGCCCAGAAGACTAAACGCCTGCCTACGAGAGCTGCAAGCGGGGACTCGCTAAGGCAGCGTGAGGCTAACTATATGGAAATGAACGCCCTGTACGAGAAGCTGGAGGGCCGAGAAGGGGAACAAGTTCGTTTTCCGCCTGGCTAAAGCTCGGAACGTGCTGCTCAGGATATCAGGGCCGTAAACACTCTGAAGAGCATCAACGGGGCCATTCTCAGGAAACCAGCCGAAGTCAGAAAGAGATGGGAAGAATACTTTGAGGGACTACTGAACGAAGAATTCCCCCGCAAGGATAGCCCACAGATAAAAGCGACGGCAGGCAGTATCACTCCCTGGACGCAAGATGAAGTTCGCCGGTGAGCTAGGGAAGAGTGGAAAGTTGGGGAAGCAGTGGTCCAAGAGGTACCGATGAGGCAATGGAAGGGACCCTGGAGAAGAGCTTTGCGGTGAGTTGGTCTAACGGACTTTCCTAAAAGTAGTGTAAGCGGCATGAAGGAATGATGCCAGATGGAATGGAGGAGCAGCAATCGTGGTCAACATTTGAAAACAGAAAGAACATCTTGAAAACTGAGGGAACTTGTCCCATCGTCACAGGAAGCATTCAAGCTTCATGCAGAAAGGTCCCCCGCACTCAACCTGGATCCATCTTGCAATCGCTACTGGTCAGCAGATGGAAAAGTACGAGGAGAAGCGCGGCGAACCTGTTACCAGCCTTCCCTAGACTGAAAAAGGCGGCATTGCGACCTGCGTGCTCTGGCCTGTATCCAGGAGACGCGCCCAGAGAACATAACGTTCCGGAGCACCTGGTCTCCATAGTGAAGGATATGTCCATAGGGCTAAAGCAGCTGTACGCACCCCGCACGGCTTGACGAAAGAGGTAAACATCACGGTTGGGGTACACCAAGGATCAGCCCTCAGCCCGTTCCTCTTCCTCCTGACTCTAGATGTCATGGCAAAAGAACTCATGGAGGACTAACTGGAAAACACCTCTCTACGCACGACATCGCCCTCATAGCAGACAGCAGGGAGGAACTCAGGACAAGATGCAGCGGCGGCAGGATGTGCTCGACGAAAATGGACTCCGGTTGAAGGTGAAGAAGACCGAAATCCTAGCTCTGAAGAGTGTCGTACGGAAACCCATCGGGACCGCATGGCGAGAGCACTCGAAAGGGGCGGTAAGACTTAACCAGTACCTAGGAGACGACCTAGCAGCTGATGAACCAGCGATGGAGGTCAGGCATGAAGAAGCCAGAATCAAACCGCAAGTCCTGGATTGAAATGGAGGAGTATCCCGTGCGAACCTAGGCGTGCTCGAGAAGGCTCAATGGTCAAGGGTGCACCGGGCGTTGGTAAGACCCAATGCTCTACTGCAGTGAGTGCTGGCCTGTCTGCAAGAACCAAGGCAGCTCCACTCATCTGAAATGAGGATGCTGGGATGGGCTGGAGGACGTTCGTAAAGAATGACCTCTCTGAAGTGAAAGCCACGGCAGAAGATGGGCCAGTGGATGGAACAAAATGGCGATTGTTAATAACACCGAAACAGTCGTGACCTCTTGCATAATGGTGGGCAGATTTGACGCTTAGGGTAGATGAACCGAAAAAGACCCCGGAAGAAGTCAGAATGTTTGGAGAGATTCCCGGGACACCATGCTGAGTAAGGATGCGAGTTCTGAGATAGGGGATTTAGCACTAGACGGCGAGAGAGAGAGACCCAAACTGAACAAGTCATACCCTTTCGACCGTTGATCGTCCTGTTTTTCTGCACTCTTCTCATCCACATGGCACTCTAAGGCCGTTGGGATTTCGCCAATTCTAGCTCTTCACCGATTATAAGTAGCTCACCCACCCCGGAGTCCCCTACCCTTGAAAAAGACCGTTTCCTGCCTCGCCATGTTTCTTGCACGTTTCGATGTTTGGCAGACGCTGTCCTCTATTTGTCTGCGTCACAGGATTTCGCAACGGGACTATGCACAAAAGTTCAAGATGTCACGTAACCGCGTCGCTACTCCTAGAGGAAAAAGATTCAGAAGTAGACTAGTAATTCCTCTTACCTGGCGCGTAGCTGGGAATCACAGGAACACCTATGGCTGATGCAGTGCCCTCCAGGATCGCAGAGGAGTGTGCGCCGATGATATTCTTGAGGCCGATTGCCTCTAATACACCTGAAATTAGACATTTTCGGTGAACATGAGGACACAGAAATTGCAAGTGGTTCATTGCTGGCTTTGTCTTTAGTGATCCTTCAAACTATGAAGGCATCAAGAACGCATGACAGATCCTCCAGTCATTTACAGTCACTCTTTGACACATTTAGCACACTAACAATACCTCAACAAGCCGCAACATGTGACTTTTTCCTCAAAGCTCGCATCAAATGTGGCATACAGTATTTTGATCACAAACACTGATTTTCGTTTTTAGCGCTGGGCTATTAGGGTCAACACCTTCCCACTGAAATCGATTCAAAGTTCCCTATTTTGGAGGTTTGTTTGGAGCTCAGGTCACGTACCATAACCCCAAGAAAGGCGGTTCCCCCACCCCCCCCCCCCCCATTTTAGCACAAGCAATGTCAAATGGGTGCCTCCTTCACCAAATTCATAATAAACTTGTTATTTAATGCAATGCTCTGACCACGAACATGACAATCGCTCTTAGCACCTGCTCCAACTGGGTCAACAGGAATCATTTCTGGGCCTGTTCACCAATATCGATTTAAACTTATGTATCTAGGGTTAACAGAAGTCCTGATTACAAGCATGACCCCCATTTCCCGACCTCAGTGCCCGTTCACGCTAGACTGGAATTGGCGCTGACTTGAGAAGAGGGCACGAGGCCTCTCTTGTCGTTTGTGTTGCTATACCCAAATTTGAAGGAAAGAAGAACCTCGATTTCCAGGCTCAGCAGTGACATAAAGCCAGAGTACCGACATCGGGATATTAATGCCAAATTCACCGGCAAGGCTCCCGATTGCCTCCTAATTTACGAAAAAGTTTTTTGGCACAAAACGGCGGTTCTACCTTGAATTAGAGTTACCGCCACCAGAAATGACTGGATGACCACTTTGCACCACGGGAATTGTGTGGCCGAGGCCAGGATCAAATGCGTTAAGTGCGCAGGTTAACACTTATTTTGGTAAAAAGCATGATAGCAACGAGGCAGCGCTTACTGGCACTAAATGGCGGTTGCCAGAGAGATTGCCGTTTTTCTGAGCTCCTAATAAGAATATACTCGAAATCCCTGAGATCGGGTAGGCGTGGCCGCATGTTTCAACTTCACTTAAAGGTGTTTATGTACACAATTGTTGTCGTGTCTCTGTCCATTTCGGTGCCATGTATGCCACGCCTACTTCCTCAGGGATAAGGAGTGTACCTAGTAAGTCCTAAAGTCGGAAGTTTTCAGCGAAAAGTTGAGATTAGAAGATTCTATAAGTTGAATAGTGCCGCACTTTCATTTTCTGAAAAGGCGTTCAGCTTTGCTTACCTATTCCTACGAAGTCGAAGAGCTCGGTAATTGCGACGTCAAATTTTTCGGCTTTCAGTTGCTCTAGAAGTTGCTTGTCATCTAGAAGATCTGAAAGATGAAAGATTAATGATTAAGGGAAAAAATTTCAAGAATTACTCCTTAGGGGACAGATCATATAACATCAAACTCACGCGTTAGAGTCTTCACCGAGATTTCAGAAATCCATTGGAATGAACTGAAAAGATGCTGTTCAAATTGAAGCCCTGCAGAAAAAAAAACGAGATTTGGAGTCCACCATAAATAGACCAATAGGATTTGATGTACTGCTTGTCCATATGGGCTTCATGTCGTCCCTCCTTGTACTGCGAGCCGCACCAAATGGACCACGTTGGATGACACGCGATTTTGTAGTTCCATTAGTAGGGAGGCCCGGATCAAGCACCGGCTGTAGGGTGAATCCTTGGATATTGAAGACCTGACCTGATTTTGAATGTAGCAACAATCTACAGGACTACTACATGGATTCCCATAGCGTTTTCCAGGCTGTCATCCATGGCTAATCAACTTATTTTAACCGCCCGGAATTATTAACCGCAAGCGCCACTTCATCATTTTTTGGGGGTCAACCTGCACTCTACTGCGACAGCGGTCATGAATGTTGATTATCCTTCACCTTTTAACGCCCTTGTTCAGAATTATATCTGCTACTATCATAGTCCTCCTCACAGGCCATTAATGAATATTCTGTCCCACATCTATATATAACTACCTGGAACCAGCGTTCTAACTGTGTCTATAAAGTTATAACATAAAATTTAGTTTCCAAATCTCTATTAATGGATCCCCCTCTGTCTAACCCCCAAATGCAGGTCTTTCCTGTTCTGGGCACCGTTCATACTTTACGGCAGCGTCCACCAGCAACCGATAGCGTCCACCAGTGTTCAGAGCGTCAGGCAGCGTCAGAGGCTAGGGAGGTGTAGAAAGCGATCTAGCGTCTACCATCGTCTACCAGCGCCTACCAGCGATTAGCAGCATCCGAGAGTGGAGAGTTTGGAGCGATAGGGGGTAGCAGGCAGCTGGTACACCATGGAAAGATAGGAAGTAGCACCGTTGCTGATAGAGAGCATGGGACGAAATAGAGAGCATGGGGAGATAGGAGGGTACCAACCGTCTGCTACCCTCCTGTGGCCCCGTACTGACCATTACTGGATGCTGCTAGTCGCTGGTAGACGCTGGCAGACGCTAGATCGGTACCTGAACCCCTGATTGCCTCCTAATATACACTCGTCATCCGGGCAGTTGATTAGGGCGGTCGTCAACGGGCCGCAGACGCGGCTGCAGCAGCGACCGCGTGCGTAGGAACTATTTGCTTTTTCCGGCCTAATTTAGTCATTTTTCCCTACTTTTCACTGTTTTTGGCTGCTTTTTTCAAGGTTAGCTGTTCCTTGTCTTCACAAGGTAAATTATAATTGAGATTTTCTAACTTTTGCGAACAATTAAACGATTAAACAAACAATTAAACAAATACTTGAAAAAATCGCGAAAAACACCCATTACAATAAAAAAAAGATTTCACGTCTTGATATACTTCATATAGACAATAATGGAGTTACCTTGAAAAAAAGAAATACAGTGAAAATTAGGGAGAAAATTGCTAAATTAGGCTGGAAACAGCTGATCGCCGCGATCGTGACGCGCTGCAGCCGCGTCGCGACCCTTGGCCGGCTAATCAACTGCCCGGATGATGACTTTACGAAAAAGGTTATGACGCAAAACTGACGGCGGTGCTGCCTTGAGTCAGAGGTGCCGCCGCCAAAAATGACTGGGTGACCGTTTACACCACGGGAATGTTGTATTCTATACACCATTCCGGTGGTGCAAAATGGTCACCCTATAATTTCGTCGCTGACGCTGCCAGACGCTTGGGACGCTAGTGGACGCTATTGGTTGCTGATGGACGCTTCCACAAAGTATGAACGCAGCCTTATTGACTTCCTCGCACATCACTGATGTTCCTGTCCCTCGACTATGTCTTTTTTCAGAAATGGTACCACTGTTACTGCCACGCGAATCATGAACCCTCTTCCTGTTCTCCTACACTTCTTCCGTATTGCCCCCTATATCGCCCTTGGAACCAACATCTTACCGGTGGGCGCCATGATTTCAAAGATCAAATAGACAGAAGCACACACATGCACATGTGCCTAGCGGATTAATGGTGGGATTCACCCTTTGAAAGAAAAAAAACTATTGTACTCACTACTTCGTGACCAGCTTCAGCTATCGTATCAGCTATCCGTCCCATGAAATTCAAATGGCTGTAGCCCATCTTTGGGTTGATGACGAGAACTTTGTACGAAAGTAAGTCTACACGAAGATCATCTAAAATGAAAATCGAAATTTGAAAGCGAGAAAAAAACACTCAAAAAAAAAGGGGTACGATAGGTCTGTATAACTCCCTATTTCCGATGACTTTCATTTGTGTCGCAAGACAGCGTTTATCATGCCTTTCTACGCAATAAGATGCATTAAACGATACTTGTCCGTTTTCCAAGGAATTCAGCTACCAAGTTCAAATTTCATGGACAGTTTCGTATCGCTGGGTTGTCACAACCGCTCCTCCATATAATATGCTCATCACTACACATACATTTTCACACCGATAAACTTAGCTACCCTCCCAGGCACGCCCTCTTTTCCAAATATCAGCCAATCTTTTGCAAAATTTTTATCCTCTTTTGAAAACTCCGCTTTTCTAGGCTGCACTGATGAGCTCCGTCCTAGCAGGAGACTTCGCCACATGCGTAAGCTCCGCGAATTCTCATAAAACTCTAAATCAAGCGGGCTAGAGATCCATTCAGCAGACCCTTGCCTGAGTTTCTGTCCACAGCAAAAAAAAAGTGTTCTGACCTGCTAAACGAGACTCTGGCTTGCCAAGCAGTGGTAATTTACGAAAAAGAGGCAGGGCTTGACAAACCGTGGTAGTGACTCTTCGTAAAAGCTCAGAAAGGTTAAAAGACACTATATACCCACCAATAAACCGATTTTTAAAGTTCAGCTCAGGCCTTTTGATTTGTCGGCAAATTGATTCCGGGGTAGTTTGACAAATCTCTGTACACAAATATCGCATCCTTTTGACACGAAACAGGTTGGCGCACCATTATACTCCAATTCACCGTATTGGGCGAACATTGCCCGCACGAGTAGTTTGACCTCGGGCACACGAGTATCATCATGGGATCCAAAACCGTCAAGGATCAGATAAAGGAAGGTACACTACAGCATGACAGCGCAGCCTGCTCCTGCTCAACCTCACCCATTCTCCTGGATGATGATCTCTCGTCTATTCAGAATCGATGGTTCCTTGAGCTTCATTGTATTTAATCTTGCTGTAATGAGTAGAACGGCGAAGCTCTTCTTTTCATTGAATCTTTATTATATGACAACGTTTCGGGCATAAG